ATATAAATAATTTTTTTTTTATATATATATATTTTTACATTTGTTTTACTTTTCAATTCACCGCGATATATCTCGTGTATATACGTTTAATACATGCATACGTATTTACATACATATTTACATACATACATATGTAAATAAATACACGAACGGTATTTCAATGTATTCGCGATGAGGAAAACAGCTGATCTTCTTCAAAACCGTCTCAGCTACGTCCGAAGATTCGAGTTCGTCTTAATTAAGAAAAAAACATTCTTATGAATACGACCACGATGATGACGATGATGATGATGACGATAATGATGATGATGATGAGTATGATGATGATGACGATGATGATGATGTTGGTTGGTAATGATGAACGATATCGGATTTGTTAGATCTTTACAATTAGAGTAAATAGCGCATAAATCCTATAATTTGCTTTCGTAGTAAATGCGAACACACGTTTTGTAGTTTACATTTTAAATACGGATCGAATAATAAATAGTGAAAAATCGGGTTACAAAATTTTCGCGGATAAAAATATTCGGCATCGGTAAACGAAAGAGAATATATTTCGTTTTTGTTTCTTTTTTTTTCTTTTTTTATTTTTGGTTTCTTTTTTTTTTTGTTTTCTTTTTTAATTTAATCGGCGATTAGAAGAAATCCTCGTCGAATACAAAACAACAAACGAAATTTAATTCATAATCTAATCAGGTCCTTATCTAATGAAAACAAAACAAAAAAAGAAAGAAAAAGAAAACAAGAAAGATAGATAAATAAAAAAAATTTTAATTCAAATTCAAATTCAAATTCAAATTTATTAACGGATGCGAGTGACGTGTGTGTGGCGTTGTGCGCAGGCGCGGAAAAAACGGCAGGAAGAGGTGGAGAAGATCCGACTGGAAGAGCAACAACGAAAGCAACAGGTAATTCTATAGAGCGTTTTTAGGATAACAGAGACAAACAAACAAAAAATACGAGAGGAGAAAAAAGTGAGAGAGGATGTGCGGGAGGGTGAGAGACGAGGGAAAAAAAATAAACGTGGAAGGATAATGAAATTTTCGTTTGAATTTTCTCTCTCACTTTATCTCTCTCTCTCTCTCTCTCTCTCTCTCTCTCTCTCTCTCTCTTTCTTTTCATCTTTCTTTCTTTCTCTCTTTCTCTTTCTCTCTTTCTTTTTTACTTTTTCATACTCTTTCTCATGACTTTATTTTGATTATAATACAAATTTTGGATATAAAAATAATTTTATAAATGCATTTTGTATTTATCTCCTGTTTTCGCAGGAACGCGAATTGAAGAGGCAACAGGCGGTGATGTTAAAGGAACAGGTGAGTTTTTTTGTTTTTCTTTTATATTATTTACTCTTGTTTATCATTGTTTTTTTTTTTTCTTTTTTTTTCTATTATCATCCAAAGAAAATTTTGTTATTTAAAAAAAATCGTTTTTTTTTTTGTATCATGCCTATCTACGATCGTATCGCCGCAAAGAAAAGAAAAAAAACAAGAAAAAGAAAAACAAAAAAAGACAGTAGTAGATCGTAATAATATATTTTCTATTAGAACGCGTAAGTGTGTGCGTGTGTAAGCGTGTGCAATGTGTGCAGTGTGCGTTTTGTAGATTTTATTAGTTTCGTAATGTGTTTCGTATACTCACTCCCTTTTAATTACCGTCTATCTATTTCTCATATTGCGCGTTTCATTCATCGATTCGTATAATTTCGGCGAACGATTTCGCGAAACGATCATCTCTCTTTCAACCCCCCGACCCTTTACTCTTTCTCTCTCTTTCTCTCTCTCTCTCTCTCTTTATATATATATATGTACACGTATACACTAAATCGGTAATGAAATTGTCCTATGTTTCGCGCAATCATATACAAACTTACTCCGTATACCTAAATTACATTTCGATTGAAATTTCTAAACCCACCGCCGTTTGATGCTTACATTAATTTATTTACGAATGTGGTATCAATCAAATTGATGTTTGTCTAATTTTATATTGTTCAAAGTTCAGTCTACAACTACGATTACTTACAACTCGAATTAATATCGTTAAAAAAACAATTCATTGAACTTGATACTACACTTTCCACCCTCGTCCTTCCCCCCGTTTAATTTCGATCAAAATTGAATATATCGTTTTCCGATTGTTCGTAAAAACTAATCTATTTGTCGTTGCTTCACATTCGCCTTCACATAAGAAGAAAGAAAAATCTTTTTCTTTTTAATGGGGAAAAATTTTTAGAAAAAAAAAAAAAAACACAAAAGAACGAAAATAAATCAAAAAACGCGTTTGATCCAACGTATCTCGATGTCACGTTGTTTAATTATTATGAATGAGAGGGACCGAGGGAAGTAGGGTGGAAAAACAAAAAGAGAAAGAGAGAGAAAAAATGGATATGGTTAGTTTGAGAGTAGTCGTAGTTTGAGCACTGGTGGACTGTGGATGTGTTTTGTGCCGCAGATGTACATGCAGGAGCTCACCAAGCAGCGCGAGATGCTCTACACCGTCGAGTTGGTATGTGTCTCATACCCTCTAGCCTAACTGAACTAATAAACGATTTAAACGTTAGAATAATATTAACGAGAGATTCTCTAACCGAAGAAAAAAAAAAAGAAAACGAAATTTCGATGAAGTATAATCAACGAATGATGCACGAAAGTTTTATTTTGTTGTGTTTCTATTTTTATCTTTTTTTTTTTTTTTTTCTAACGTGCCCGTGTTTTTTTATAATTTTTCGCATATCCAAATGTGTTTTTTGTTTTTCGTCAATAAACAAAATCGATTGTTCATGACGTCATTTATATGTTTTACTGCTTGGCGCTATAAAGCGATGAACTTTTCCTTACGTTTATTTTGTTTTAAATCACGTGAACAAAAAAATTCAAGCTTTATTATTTTTGTTTTTGTAAAAATAGATATATATACTATTTTTAACAAAGATGAGAGAATCATCAAAATATGTTCGCGTTTATAGGTATGCCTATATTAAAATATTATAGTACATGCATATGTACACACGTTTATTTATTTAATTGATTATTTATTACAGTTTGCACGGTTCTTTTTTTTTGTTTCTTTCATTTTAAACCAACGATCATAAACGAGGAGCATTTTGTGCGGAGTAGGTTACGCGAGTAAATCCGTATTTATTGTTAGTAATTATAATATTCGTGATTTTGCATCCATCCGGCACTATGCATACATCGCATTCAGTTTGTGTAGTCACGTGAAAGTATTTGGGGCGGTAGTAGAGTTTGCTATTTGCCCGTGCGTGCGAAATTCTGCTTAGACTAAATGAAATAGATATTTACATTTATACATCTCATCAATATACATGCATACATACACATTTTTAACACATAAATACATATGTAACATCATGTTTCACTCATCCATATTATTATATGGCCCATAAAGTTTCAGAAAAAAATATACACTACTGGTCAACAGTTCAGAAATTCCATTCAAATCGAATACACCATACGTCAATTTTAAAACGTTTTGTATTCAATTAGAAACATTAGTAAAACTTATTATCAGGATGGCTAGAATATTTCGTACAAATATCCTGGTCCTCTAAATTTATGTAAAAATTTCAAACTTTTAGCCGGAAGTGTATATAAGATATGCATACGCATTATTCTTACATAGACACCAATTTAGATATACTCACGCATATACGTATAGAACATTAAATTCGCATAACATTAAATTCGATCCTTCAAAAAGTAATACTTCAACGCTTTACTTTATTACACTTATTAAAAATATTTTGTTTAATCGCGGAAATCATAGGAACGAGAGAGAAGGAGACAACACATGGCGTTGGTCAGAGCACTTGAGAATCGTCGCAAAATGGAAGAAAGGGAAAAGAAACGATTAGAAGCAAGAGCCGAGAGAATAGCAACGAAAGAGAAACGAGCTGAACAGAGGAAAATTGAGCTGGAGTTGGTAGAACAAATTAGGAAACCCGTAGAAGACATGGAACTTACAGGTTTGTTTGTCTTTCACAATTTATTCAAATTATTTAACAACGTAATTTGATAAACGCGAAGATAAACGATGGATTATAGATCACAGAACTCTGCCGGATATCAAGAGAATACCTGGACTAAAATTATCGGGACAGGCTTTCGCTGATATCGTCATGGTCTTCGAATTTCTCCATAATTTTGGTGAAACTTTAGGTTTTGGTGAGTATTTATCAATATCCCAAGTGTAGACAAAATCAAGGATTTAATCAAGAGACCTAAATATTTTTTTCATTCTTGATTTTATAAAAACAAAATTATTAGAATCGAGTTAACAAAATTCTCAGGAGTTTTCTATAAAACCATAAATAACAGTAACATATAGGTGTTTCAATTAAAATTTTCCATTTTGTATATTTTATAATATCTAATGCAATACAACATATATTAAATTTTGTTTATTTCAAGACATGGAATCCTTACCAAGTCTAAGAAGTCTACAATTGGCATTGTTGAACGACGAAGAAGCCGAGGAAGAAATGCTTTCTGTGATGACACATCTTTTGGTGTGCGCTATCGAGGACCCAGGCATTCCACAGCCAGCAAGACACACAACTGGCCTTGGACAAAGTTTACGACAAGCTGACATAACTCATGCCAACATAAGCGAGATATTAAGAATTTATCTTTACGCGAACGCGACAGGTGAAGTAAAAGCACTCACGGGAGTATGTTTGGAACGTGAACGTGACAAAAGATTCGCTGATCATCATCAAAATGGTGGCGATTATGCGTCTTCTTGTTCGGGCAAGAACGCTCAATTCTTCGAGCATATGCATAAAAACGAAACGTGGAAATTGTCCGAGAGGCTCAGGGACAAACCATTCCTTGCACTTAATCCAACGCATAAAGCACAAACTTTGGCGTTCCTTTGCAACGAGCTATTGCAAAATAAAGCTGTGATTAGGCAAATCGAAGGTAGCCTGGAAACGGTAGCTCAGTTGAAGAAAGAAAGATTTGTATTAGATACGAAGATCAGAAAGTGAGTTGTTTTGTTTTACTTGTAAACACCAATATGATTAACATAATTGGACTGATTTTAATTATGTGTTTTTTTTTTGTTTCATTTTAGGTTGAGACAACTGCATAGTCGAAAAGTTAGAATGGAAGCGGTTGGCGTCATAGTGAACAAAACTGGTGATACGATTACTATCGAAAAGAAAGAAGTTGATGAGGAAGGAAACACAACATCGACGGCTGTTGGTACAACACCCACTCCTGACGAGATTCATCACGAGGATGAAGTTGAGGATATGTCAGAAAACGAAAGCGAAGGAACTCAACCGGAGGAGGTAAGTTATTTTATTTGTATCTTTTGTTCTACATTATATTCTTTCTTTACTGATTATTCATGAAAAATCTTGTCTGCTATCTTTGCCCTTTTCTAGTCCTCTTTAAAGAATGATAATCTCTGGTTGATTCAGGAGGAGGATAAAAATCTGTCGGGTGAAGAACTCGGGAAAAAGTTGGATAAACTTTTGAAGCAATCCGAAGAACAATTGCAAAAATTGAATAGCTCGTCGAAACAATTGCGTGCTCACACGTTCGGACAGGATAGGTATTGGAGGAGATATTGGGAATTGGCGAATGCCGGTGGTATATTTGTAGAGGCTATGGAAAGCGCGGAACCTGAGGTTTTGGAATTGCAAGCGGAATTAGACGAGAAGTACAAAAATATGCCGGTTGAGGAGAAGATTGAGACTAAACAGGAAGAACAAGCTAAACCTAACACGGAGAACAGAGAGAATGAAGCACCGAACGAAGCCAAGGATGAAAAGAAATTGAATGCCAACGAGGAGGATGACAATTCGAAATCTCAATCTAAAGATAAGAGGAATACCGATTGCGAGGAAATCAATTGCAAGAAGGAACCAGTGCAGAATTGTAATTTGGACAACTCGGGTAATAACATGAAAGAAGAAAGGAGACACGATGGTGACAGTATGATGACGGATGCCAAGACCAATGTGACTTCCGAAGAAATTAAGCAAGAAACGGAAGTTGTCAAAATGGAGGTAGACGTGAAGATCGAAGAAACGAAAAAAGAAAACGAAGAAATGGACGAGGAAATGCCGAAGATTGTTGTCAAAATGATGGAAGATAAAATAGTCGAGACTATACCCAACGGCGACAAATTTAATCACATTAACAATCTCCACAACGGCAAGGAACTCAACGGAACATTCATTTCTAGTGAGTCCCTATTAACCCTCCGTCGAGTAGTACTAACGAAATTAATCATTAATATTAGTCATGTCAATAATTACAGACAACAATGCCGAGCCAAATTGGTTCTCCATTTTGCCACGAGAAACTTGCGATACACCTGGACCCAGTACCAAGCAAATCTTCGGAATTGCTGAACCAACGGAACTCAGGATACCAGTTTTTCCACCTCCAGCTAGTCCGAATTATGACAGATGCGATAGTCCTGCGCCATTGATACTCACGCAAGATGAAGCTGTGCAACTGGAATATCTTAAAGTACATGGATTGCCACCACCTGGGGAAGCTAAACCTGTACCGAAAGGTAAGATGGGAATAATTAGACAACAACAAAAAATAATCATTCATTTTAATCATTATTTGTATTTTGATAGATCTGCGGTATGGTTGGTGGAGAATCACGGACGTAGACACGTTCCAAGAATTATTAGAACACTTACATTCTCGAGGAGTTCGTGAAAAAGAATTGAAGCGTACGACGTGGGCTACGATGGAATCTTTTTTGGCTGTAACCGGTAGGATCAACGTTGACCCAGGTAATGTCACTGCAACTGAGCTTCAAGCGGAACCCGACGATCCCGATACACCGATCCCAAAACCGGATAATCCTGACGATTGGAGCGAGCAGGTAGCGTTACGCGTGGATGCACAGCTTCTCGAACAGGTCGAAGCTTTGGAGGATAAGGTCGCTAATGCCAGCATGCAGGTCAAGGGCTGGAAACTTCCTCCGCGGGCAGGAACCGAGGAGGCTGATGAAATCGAGAAGTTAAACGAAATGGAAAAGATCAGTGCAGTTGAACAAGCGAGACAAAGGTTACTCTCTTTGGAAGCGGCCATTGAAAGGAGATACTTGAAACCACCTTTAGGAGTTTGGTAAGATTTCGAAAGAATTTTTTGTCCCTTAATTTTGTTGTTACTCGTAACATTGTCGTAATTACTGACACGTTGCTTTTCTTTTTTTTTGTTACAATACTCAAAAGACAAGAAAATAGATTTATGTAAATATTTGAAAATTAATGATTATTAGCACGGGAGATCCAAATCTGGCAGCGTTGAAAGCAGAACAGGCAGCCGCCGCAAACGCCAACTCGAACAATTCGGATCAGAGTAATCAGGCACCTATTCCCCAAGAAGAGACAACACCAAGAGGGCTGAACAACTGGCGAGAAGCTACCGCACGTGCACACACATCGGCTCAGCTAGCTATGGCGCTTTATATGCTCGAGGCCAGCATCGCTTGGGACAAGAGCATCATGAAGGCTGTGAGTCTAACACCAGCTAGAAACTCGGTCTGCGTCAAGCTACGAAACCGCTGCGTCTCACTCAAAGCTACCACTCAGTACAATCAACTATTGACTACTTCTCAGACCTCTGTGGGTATTCGCACTAACTTACTAACCGAATTGTCCTCTTGCTTCCTACCTATGTCTTTTTTCCCTTTTTTCGATTCGATGAACCACACGAAGCATGGTCGGGCTTCGAAAATCAGAATATAAGACATTGATCTTCCTCGATTTTACATTAATATTGTTCTAACTTTTAATAATTATTTCATTTTCATCTAGAATTAACTATACTTTTCTAACTTATCCTTGAACATTCAAACAAAAAATATTATCTTGGAATATTAAATATTAATAATACTCATATAACAGGTTCCATCGTTCCAATAAATAACTAAATTAACATACAGTAACACAATTATTGAGTAAAATCAATATTCGGTATTCACTCAAAATTTTATATTTTGTGAATACATGTAATGTGATCGTCTTGAACAAAAAGTCACGTTTTCAAAAAAAATCCATTCAAGTATGTGCAGGAAGGTTAAAAGTAAAAAAAATATATATATAATTATATATGTATATGTATATATATATATTTATATATAATAATATCCAATGGTGGTCAGAGTCTAACGTAACGGTAGCATGCAAAAATTAATGCCGCTTGATTATATATTTATTAATTTTTTCATTACAATAACGCTTTTTTCTTCTTATTCTTTGTTCTAATTCATTCTCATTAATTCACTATTTTAAAAAGCTTTTACATAGCGCGTAGCGTGATCGTTTAAATTTTAAGATACATTAATTTTATTACTCTTTATTTATATATTTATTTATTTTGTTCAATATCGTATTAATTTAACACAAATTAATTTTTATTTTGAAAGAGAAAGAGAGATATTACAATATAACACATCTCATTCTAACTGGCTCTCTCTCCCTCTCCCTCTCTTTCTCTCTCTCTCTCTCTCTTTCTTTCTCTCTCGCTATTTTTCTCATACAGCAATTTGCATTAATTAAAAATTTGATTTGCATATATGCTTAACATTTATTTTCTATTAACAACATTTCTACATTGTGCCTGTTGTGGTTGTACGCTTATGTGCTATTTTGCTACGTATTATTAGATTCGAAAGAACAAATTATTGAAGAGAGAAGAGTAGAGACCGTTCTAACGAATAAGGAAACTTATTTTCGTTAATTCGTTTTAATTCATTAATATATAATTATTATTATTAATATTATATGAATAAAACGAGCAGAGAAATGATCTCTCTATGTCTCTGCTCATTTATTCTTATTTCTTAAAAGCACGAGTATCATCTTTGTGTTTCAGAATTGCCAGTTTTGTCATAGTGGAGACAACGAGGACAAATTATTGCTTTGCGATGGCTGTGACCGCGGTTATCATACTTATTGTTTCCGTCCAAAAATGGAAAACATTCCTGATGGTGACTGGTGAGTTGTTAGCAAAACAAAGAAAAGAAAAAGAAAAGAAAACAAAAATACATGTTAACATTTTTTGTAACTTTTCGTTTAAGCCGTGTGGGTCGTATACGACCCACATATATATATATATATTTAAATGCTAAAAGTTTCCTATAGCCTGAACGGAAAGTTCAGAATAGAGGCGTATGTGACCCATACGACACGGAACGTGTTAATCCAATTTGTAAATCCACATTGTTTAAACAATCTCTTTTTCAAATTTTTGTTTAGGTACTGTCACGAATGTATGAACAAAGCAACAGGAGAACGTAATTGTTTGGTATGTGGGAAGAGGGTTGGGAAAAATTTGGTCCTCTGCGAGCTTTGTCCTAGGGCTTATCACACCGACTGCCATAATCCGGTTATGCCAAAAGTGCGTAATTTAAGTTGACGTTTATTTCTACAACAAAATAATTGTATTTTATGAGCATAAACAATTTGTTGTTCTTTCTATAATTGGTTATTTTCAATTCGGTATTTAAACGATTCATTTGATTTCCAGATGCCAAGAGGGAAATGGTATTGCTCTAATTGCCACAGTAAGCAACCAAAGAAGAGAAATAGTAGTCGAAGGAGTCATACCAAAGGAGGAAGCACCAGAGAGAGTGAGAGTTCTGATCATCCACCAGCTAGGTGATTACGTTAAAACCAAACAAACATTGTCAATTTGTTGACTTAACGGTATAAAGTATATTCGAGAACAGAAATGAACAAAATAGAACGAACGAACAGAAAACGTAATAATAATAAAACGATTAATAATTCATAATTAATTAATTAAATAATAACACTGAAGATAACAGTAAAAATAACAATAATAATAATAATAATCTTCCTCATCGTCGTAATAATCATAATTAATAACATTATATACGGAGTACATGATTTGATATATAATATTCAACGAATGCGAATGATACAATTATTCCCGATTTAAATAAACGAATTTTCAAACTTTTACGAATTACATTTTGAATATAAATATGTATATGTGTATATGTATACTGCTCTCTCTCATGCGAAAAACCCGGTTTGATTCTCGGTTAAATGAGGGAAACTGTTAGCCAAGTCTTTCTAATTTTAAATGACGTTTAATTGCATACAGGGTGTTCTAGGAGTACAGTTTGCGGATGCGGTTATCGTATATATATAATTATACATTAATTATATATAAATTAGGGTTTGTGAAAGATCATTTTATTTTCTCCTGATTCTCTCGTATGTGTGCGTATTTAATTATGGGGTAGAACATATCTTCTCGTCGTACTGTCCCAACCTTTCCTCTGTGGTGGATGAGAGGATGGGTGTTTGTTTTCTGAGATAATCAATTTAAACTTCTTCGTATAATAAAATACAAACGTATTGTATAAAAGGGCTAATCTTTAAGATCGTATTGTCGCACAAGAAGTAAAAGGGAATATAAAATAATAATAAAAAATAATATATATGTGTATATATAAAAGTAAAATAGAGTAATAAAAAAAAAAAGCAATCTCAAATATGTAAAAACAAAAGTCGGAAATAAGAGAGAACAAGAAAAGGCGAGAGAGGAAAGTGAGAAAAACGAGAGAGAGAGAGAGAGAGAGAGAGAGAGAGAGAGAGAGAGAGACAGAGATAATGACAAAGAGTCAAAAAGAGCTAGAGCTAGAAAGAACGGAATATTTCATCGAAAGAGCAACATATCCGAATCTCGACCGGAAAAAAAAAATAAAAACCAAGCACACACAAAAAATGTGCTCGAATTCGCTCGAAAAAAAAAAACGCATATTCGCCCTCGAGAAGGTTTATTAGAGACGGAAACAAACAAGCGCACCTGTAAAATGGAACTCAAAAAAGAAACAAAACAAAGCGAACAAACCAAACCAAACAAACAAACAAAATAGATTAATCGTGGAAAATAATTTCTGTGTTGTTTTGCGCCGCAGTCCAACGCCGTCAACGGCATCGAACACGCACGTAGAGGACGTCAGTTCGTCGGAACCGGCAACCCCTACTGCATCCCCGAGGAAGGAGGGAAACAATAGGACCCTTACTAAGAAGCAACAACGAGAGCTGGCACCTTGTAAGCTTCTTCTTGAACAGTTGGAGCAGCAGGACGAAGCCTGGCCATTCCTATTGCCGGTTAACACCAAACAGTTCCCGACCTACAAGAAAATCATTAAGACTCCCATGGATCTCAGTACGATAAAGAAGAAACTACAGGACTCTGTGTAAGTTTCAAGCATCCTAAGAAAAGACTATAAACGCTTCTACTTCTCGATCGTCTTGCATACAATAGTAATAGATTTGTGTTACGTAATAACTTGTTTAGAACAAAATAAAAGGCAAAAAAAAAAAATAAATAAATCAAATAAAATAAAAGATAAAAACCAAAAAAAAAAATAAATAAATAAATATAAGCAAAGTATATAGAGAGACAAATAATAATAATAATAAATAAAAAAAAAGCATAAAGAAAATAAATATTAAATAATATAAGAGATATATATATATATATAATATATATATATACATACATATATATATATAGAAAAAAAAAAAATAAATAAAAATTAAAAACAAAAAAGATATATAAGAGTGTCGGATGGAAAATAAGAAAATGTGTTGTTCCAACGAGTGCTTCTCAAACGCAGGTACAAGTCCCGCGATGAATTTTGCGCCGATGTCAGGCAGATGTTCATCAACTGCGAGGTATTCAACGAAGACGACAGTCCCGTAGGAAAGGCCGGACACGGGATGAGAAGTTTCTTCGAAATGCGATGGACCGAGATCACCGGTGCACCCCCACCCCATACACAGACGCATAGCTGAGGTTCGGTGCGTTCACGCAACACCTGCAACAGCTTCGCACACTTTTACTACTAGTGCGTGTGTGTGAAAATCCAGCAGCCCAGACAGAAAGAAAAGATAGAGGATAGATGATAGAGGATAGAAAATAGAAAATAAAAAATAGAAAGAAAGAGAGAGAGAGAGAGAGAACGAGAGAGAGCGAGAGAGAGAGAATGAGAATGTCAGAGAGTATGTAAAACCCGATAAGGACGATAAAGAGAAACATTAGTGAAAGAGAGAGAGAGAGAGAGAGAGAGAGAGAGAGAGAGAGAGAGAGAGAGAGAGAGAGAGAAAAGGGAGAATCAAAGGTGACGAGAAACCCACTTCCATTTTTAGCCAATCGGTCTCGTTCTAGCGACCGATCGAAACTCGATATTAAATATTATTATTATTATTCTATTATTATATTATTATATTATTATTATTATATTATTATTATATTATTATTATTATTATTATTATTATTATTATTATTATTATAATTATTATATCATTTATACCGAATTGTGTCTATTGTTTACGGTGCGTGCGTGCGTGCGCACGCGCGGACAGGCGGGTATCCGTTGTTCACCAACATCATTATTCTACCCTTCCTCATCGTAATTCGCAGTTATTCGAAACTCTTCTTATTAAGTATATATGTATATTATACTTCTATGTATATATATGTATATACTTCTTATATGATATACTCGTTTCGTCATTAGAAATCGCGCTTAGGGTGACTCACGTCTCTTTGAGGACTCGTATCTCTCTTCATCTTTTTCTTCCTCTTCTATTACTTCTACTACTACTACATCTACTTCTAGTACTTCTTGTATTTATAAAATCTGAATCGAACTCGAGATATTCTTTAATGGAGAATATCGAATTCGAATCGTCTTGTGTGCTCGTCGTCGAAGTTCATTTTGAATGAATTTATTAATGTTATTATTATTACTAATATTATTATTATTATTATTTTATTAATATTATTATTATTATTATTATTATTAATATTATTATTATTATTATTATTATTATTGTATTCTCGAGAATATACACGCATGTACACATACATAAACATGTACACACATACAGCTGAAAAAATATTTGCTCGATCGAAACCTTCTGGTTTTAAGGAAATAGAATGAGGAATAAATGTTATATCATTGCAAAATCATATTAAAATACTACTGCTACTTCTACATATTACTACTATTACTGCTACTACTTCTACTACACGGTCATTGTACTTAATGGTGACAAACGACTTTTGCCTATAATTCGTGATTGTATTATGTGTATGCATATGTACAATCTTAGAATGATGCTGATGTTAAATGGTAAAAGAAAGATTTTCGAAAAAAAAATCATTTATGTAAAAACGAACAAGAGAGAAAGAGAGAGAGAGAGAGAGAGAGAGAGAGAAAGAGAGAGAAAGAGAGAGAAAAAGAGAGAGAGAGAGAGAGAGAGAGAGAAATGTGTGTGTATAAAAATATACATGAAAATATCATTAAAACAAGCGGGGATAAATCACGCGTACGTGTAAACTTAAAAATAATATTAACATCATGGGAAGTGAAACTTTTACTTACATCATGGCGGATTTAATAAGACATCGAAAAGAAGAAACAGAAATAGAACGGCGTTGCATAAGAAACACCCAACGTTTTTGTGTCTTCTCTTATTCATTTTCGAAGATGAACGTACGACGGGATGGCAAAAACAAAGCTGAAGAAATAAAAAGAAACGAATGACTATTAACAATGATAAAGATGATAAAGATGATGATAACGATGATGATGATGATGATAACTCGCGTGATTAGAAAAATGAAAAAAAGAATGAAGGAAAGTAAAAAAAGAAAAAAAAAAAAATAGAAAAAGAAACGGAAACAAGAAAAATATAAACTCGTCGTGTATTTACTTGTCAGTATTTGAGTGACTCTAAAAGCTAATTTAATTCATGCTTAGAATTATCGAATTCGTTGTGTAATGTCTAGTAAGATCACACATTCGTATAAATACACTTACACACATACACACAATATCGCGTTTTTAAATGTTTTATAATAATTCGTCATTTTAGGAAGCACGTTTGTTGCGAGAGGAGATTTTTATCTCTAATGAAAATATTTAAGTGCGAATTTTGATTCATTGTAATTAAATAGATAGGATTTATAAAAAAAAAAAAGAAAGAGAGAGAGAGAGAGAGAGAGAGAGAGAGAGAGAGAGAGAGAGAGAGAGAGAGAGAGAGTGAGAGCGAGTAAGAACAAAAAGAAATAGAGAGAATGAACAATTTTACTGATAATGTATATCTTAACGAGCGCTATGTTCAAATTTTCGTTCATTTTGTTCAGATATATTTTCTTTTTTCATTCGTAGATAACTAATCCGTTCGGTACAGTATATTTTATTTGTATTTTTATTTGTATTATTTTCTATTTGCTTTTTTTTTTGTTTTTCTTTTTATTAAAAAGCTTAGTTGATATTTTCATCGTGTGTCGCGTTTTAATTGAATTCCTTTTTAACGAATTATTATACGCCAAGACGCATATATGTGTTTTATCGATTAAACCCTCACCCCAGCCCCTTCCCTCTCCCTCGTATCGCGCGTATATATTTGTAAATCGTTTCTCAACACGATGTTCACTGCCGTTAGAAGATTTTCTAAAGAAAAAAAACTAAGAAACGATGCTGCTTTTAACTTTTTATCGACAACCATTTAATAGCGTAGCGCGCGATTTGTACTACGACCACGACGACGACAGCTACGAAAGAAAATAATAATAACAACACGACTGATCAAACTAATACAAAATGTCTCTCTTCTGTAAAGAACGATGTACATATATACAGGAAAAGGAATAATAAGAAAGTGCGTTAAACAAAAAGAAAAAAAAAAAGGAAAAAAAAGAAAGAAAAAAATTGAGAATAATTTCCGAAAAAAATAAACCGATCGTTTTGATTTTTTTTGTTGACGAAAAAGAAAAAAAAAGGAACAACTCTAAAAAAGTAAGAAAAGATTAAAAATAATAATAATAATGATTATTTTATGCGACAATGACTTCGAATAAGATAATAAAAAAAAAAAAAAAGACAAATAAATCGATCCCAAAAACAACTAATGAAAAAAAATTGTGCGACTATTTGTGTTCTGACATATTGATCTTCAAGATCTGTAATCTCATTGTAAAAAATAAAATTAGTATTAATCATTACGACGTGGTGATAAACAATGATGTGAATCCTAATTTCGGAAATTAATTTTTGCGCGTCGAATTTAAAAGAAACTTAAAGACAAGAAAATTATTAACGAATATAAAAACAATAGCGAGAGAAAACTCGAGGCTGCACACGATACAGGACATACGACATACACACACACACACACACACACCACACGCGCGTGAATGGTACACAATGATACACATCTTTACTAAACTAATTGGAAAAATAGTGCGAATTTTTCAAATTGTCTTGTATATACGTGCATGTATACATTCACGCAAACAAACACACATGTATGTATACGTAAATACATACCGGACGACGTCGGTTAGTTTTGGATTATGCATATATCTATTATTAAAATAAAATAAAATAAAATAAAATAAAATAAAATAAAATAAAATAAAATAAAATAGAAATTAAAACAAAAAAAGTCAGTGGCACGTTTTAAATCGTGCATAAACGCATTGCAAAGATGATTTCCAAAAATGAGGAGAAGAACGTTAACGTTATCTTGTTTTGTATGTAATTGATGTACATTATTACTCGTAAAGTGAAAAAAAAACACACACGAACTCAACATACGTACACACATATACATTAATATTGAAACATAGCGAAAATTATTGGAATAGCACGATGTGAACAAAAAATACGACAAACAAAAGTTTCAAACCGTAGCGATGTGGTAATAATATACATAATATATGTACGATGGATATGAATAATAATAAAAAAAAAAAAAGAAGATAAGGAAAGTGACGAGAAACGCATGTTTGTTAGTACGTAAAATAAAAAATAAAAAAAAACAACACTGTATTAGATCGAGTATATATATAAATAAATAAATAAAGAAATGAATAAATGAATGAATAAATGAATGAATAAAAATTAATAAATAAAATAAAATAAATAAATATATATAAATAAATAAATAAATAAATATATATATTAAAGACTTAAAAAGTAAGATTAAGAACATTCTAACACAGTGTTAGGAAATGTGGCGAAGAAAAAAAATAGAAAGTTGTGAAATAACGACTACGAATGAAAGAGAGTGTGAGAGAGAGAGAGAGAGAGAAAGAGAGAAAGAGAGAGAGAGGAAGAAAGAAAGATAGATAGATCATTGATGTGCAAAACGTAATCTAAGAACGATCGGATCGATAAGATCGTCTCGAAAATCGCGCGCGTCCTTGAAAAAAAAAATATATATACATATATATACACACATACATAGTATATATAAGTATATATATATATATATATATAAATATATATATACATATATGATTTCGAATCTTGATTTGCGGATACACCAGAGTAGGAGACGAATATTTTTTTATTAATTTCTGCAAATCAATGGTTACACGTATATATCGGTAATAATAATAATAATAATAATAATAATAATAATAATAATAATATTAATAATATTATAATAATATTAATAAAAATAATAATAATAATAATAATAATAATAATACACGCACGTTGCTTTCCCGTACAATTTCTATCGACGCACGAGACGAAAAATCGTTGGCTTCTTTTCATTAATGAACAAAAAGATGGCGAATAAGAATTTATGGGGCTGAGAAGTAGAGGCGAAGAGGAGGGAACGATAATAAGATTTTAAAAAAAGAAACGAATAAATATAAGAATAAAATGATGTAAAAGTTAACATATACTTGCTCGATCTTACCGATTGTTCTTACATTATGTGTTGTTAGAACGAGTAATCGTTCAAGCAACTTTGTCATACGCACTCGAGTGATTTAAACGATTCAAATTGATCAAAGAGGGAAAGAGAAAAAGGAATGAAAAAAAGAAAAGACAAAAAAACAAGTAATAAGAAAGAAAGGGAAAATAAATAGCCGTTAATAACCCGGCGATGTGCGTGTTAAGAAGATGTGTCTCTCATACGTTTGAATGAAAAGAAAAAAAAAATACACACCAACACACATAAACACACAACAAAAACAAAATAATTTTTTAAGATCCAATTATTATTTAAATAGTACACAGTTAAATTGTTAGTACGAATAACGACGCTTTTTATACGAATTTTAGTTTTTAACGTCGATCTTACGATATATCTATATA